CTTAGGTTGCCTTCACACACTAGCTCCACCAAATAATGAAACAACATCTCTATATGCTTGCTCCTTCTGTTTGCAATCAGATTTTTCGTAAGATTTATTGCAGAAACATTATCAACAAGAAGTGTAGTAGCCTCACATTCATTACTACTCAACTCCTTCAATAGATTCATGAGTCACATAGCTTGACATGCACATAACGATGTCGCAATATACTCGACTTCAAAAGACGAGAGTGCTACCACCGGTTCCTTCTTCGAACACTAAGAGATTGGTGTCCTACCAAACATAAAAATGGATCCACCCGTTGGCTTTCTATCATCCTTATGACCACACCAATTGGAATCGGTGAAGCTAAGTAAATCACATTTTTGGCCCGTATCTGATGTAGGAAAGAGAATTTCGCAACCAAGAGTTCCTTTAACATATCTAAGGATCCTTTTGATTGCTACCAAGTGAGACACATTTGGTTTCTCCATGAATCTATTAGAAATAGCGACACTAAACACCAAGTCTAATCGCATATTGCACAAATACCGCAATGATCCAAACAATCTCCTATATTGCGTTGGATCCACATCTTGATCATCCTCACTCTTGGACAACTGCAACTTTGCTTCACATGGTGTAATGGCCGCATTACAATGCTCTATTTTACACCTTTTCAAGATCTTAAGAGTATATCTCCTTTGATGCACGAGTAATCCCATTTTTGACTTGCGGAACTCTATGCCAAGGAAATACATCATAATACCAAGGTCCGTCATCTCAAATTTATTCATAAGTTCACTCTTGAACTTAGAGATACTCTTCTCATAGTTGCCGGTAATCAATAGATCATCAACATACAAGTAAAGAATGATCACACCATCATTCACATCCGTCTTCACATACACTCCATGTTCGAACATGCACCGCTTGAAACCAATATCAATTAAAAAAACCATCAATGTGTTTATCCCAAGTTCTTGGAGTTTGTTTCAAACCATATAATGCTTTATTCAATTTGTAGAACTCCATCTCTTGATTATTTACTACAAATCCGGGGGGCTGCTCAACATAAACCTCTTCATCAAGTGAATCGTTCAAAAACACAGATTTGACGTCCATTTGATATATCTCCCAATTGTTGTTATTTGCAATGCCAACAACTAATAGGATGGTTTCTAGCCTAGCCACAAGTTCAAATACCTCCTCAAAGTTTATACCTTCACGTTGCAAGAATCCATTTGCTACCAATCGAGCCTTATGTTTGATCACCTTGCCTTTGAAATTTTCTTTCACTTTATAGACCCATCGAACACCAATTGACTTATTTCCAAACGGTAAATCAACCAACTCTGAAGTACCACTTTCTCAATAGATTCCAACTCCTCATTTATTTCATACATCCATTTTGGATCGCTTAGAGCCTCTTTCGTGTTCACTGGTTCAAATTCAGCCATAAGCACAAAGTGGATGAAATCACCATCGTCATTGATTTTGTTGTCTCAAAATCTCTCACATTCTTGAATTCTTTGAGCTAACACCCTTTGCCTTGTTGATCGTATAACATTCTCTTCATTTTGGACATCAATCGATGGCTTCGCAACTGTTTTGGAACTTTCAGGATTAGAAAAACAAATTTGGGTTGTCTGTTCTGCTGGTAACCGATTACACTAGAATGAATTGGATGGGTGTATCCAGTTACACCTGGAACTACAGAACTGGAACTCTATTTTTCCTGTTGTTAATCGGTTACACCTGCAGCTCCAATTTCATCAAAAATTACGTCGTGGCTGATCACAAATCTCTGATTTCGCGCATCAAACAACTTGTATCCTCCAATAGAATGATATCCAACTAATATCATCTCCTCACCCTTGTCGTCCAACTTCTTTATAAGTTGACTCGACACATGTCAATATGCCACTGAACTGAAAACTCTTAAATGGCTTAAATTCGGTTTAAATCCAGACCATACCTCTCCTGGTGTCAGTTTCTCAAGCTTCTTAGTATGGCAACTATTCAACAAATAGGTAGCTGTAGAGAACGTTTTCCCCATAGCTCCTTCGGCAAGTTCTTTCCACTTAACATGCTACGAACCATGTTCATAATTGATCAATTTTTCTCTCGGCAACACCATTTTGTTGTGGTGTATAGGGTGGTACAACCTCATGCACTATCCCCTTTTAGTCACAAAACTTCCCAAAGTCATTTGAAGCATATTCACCTCCACCGTCCGTTTTGAGCACTTTGAGTTTTTGACCACATTGCCTTTCTACCATGGACTTAAAATTCTTGAACACATTAAACACCTCATCCTTCCTCCTAATAAGGTATGTCCATAGCTTTCTACTAAAATCATCGATAAATGTGATAAAATAATTATCACCCAACATGTCAACTTGCATAAGCCCGCAAACATCGGAATACACCACCTCAAGGCGAGCCTTGGTCCTATGACCCGCATCCTTGCTAAAACTTACCTTGTGTTGTTTTACCTTCACACATTCTTCACACAACTTAGCTGGAATATTAATGTGTGGTAGCCCGGTAACCATACTATTTTGGTGCAACACTTTGAGATCGCGAAAATTGAGATGCCTAAGACGGTAGTGCCATAACCAGTCTTCTTGACTTTCCGATGTAGCTAAACACCTATGCTTCATCACTCTTAACCCTATCTTGAAAGTTCTATTGGCATTCATAGGATCTTTAAGGACTAAAACCCCGTTTCGGTCTAAAACGCGCAAAATCTTATTTTTCATGCGAATCATGTAATTATTCTCAAGCAATTGGCCAATTCTAAGAGATTACACTTAATTCTTGGAATGTATAACATGTCTTTGATCAAGGAATTACTACCATCCCTTCTTATGATCAAAACATCACTGACCCCCGTCCGCCGCTAAAGTGGTGTCATTTGCTTTCACCTTATTCTTAGTGGCTTGATTAGTTTTGACAAATCAATTCTTACTACCCGTCATATGCGTTGAAAAAAAAGAATCCAAGTACCAATCCTCACTTCCTTGGACTTCCTCTTGAACCGTTACCATAACGTTTCGCTCCGAACGCATTTTTGCAGTATTTTTCGAACTGCTGCAGTTGTTGTCCCGCATCTTGCATCTGCTACTGTTGTTGCACAACAACTCTTTGGTGTCATAATTCTCCTTCGTGATTATAACCAAAAGTGTGTTTTCATCATCCACCTCTTGCCTCACAACTTTAGCTTCATCGCCTTGATTTTTCCTTAGTTTCGCGTTGCAATCTCTTGTAAAATGACCAATTAATGACAATTGTAACACTTCACTTTACTCTTGTCACTCTTCTTAAAGTTGTTTCCTTGACCACTGTCTTTGGAGCTGCTCTCACCTCTTTCTCCCATCGAAACCTTCGAATTTTATGGATGTCTTCCACCCAAATTCTGAAAATTTTGCTTCCCTACTGAAGCCCATTTTCCTTTTGATCTTTTACTCTTCTCGTTGAGCTGTGCTCGTAAAGCAATCTCCGCTTTAACTTTATCGTTTCCTCTTTCATCCACCCTTTGCTCATGAGCCTCAAGAGAGCTTTGAAGCTCATCTTTGCTCAACGTTGCAAGGTCCTTCGACTCTTCGATAGCGACTACATTGTCGTCGAATCTTGACATTAAAGAATGCAAGATCTTCAACATAATATTCTGGTCCAAAATGGTTTCTCCACACGCCTTAACCAAGCGTGTGATACACGCCACACAATCGTTGATTGTTTCTTTCTCTTCCATTTGCTTTAACTCATATTTTCTCTTTTGAGTTTGTAACTTCACCACCTTTGCTTTAACAGCCCCTGCATAAGCTTTTTCGAAGTTGTCACCATCGACACAAGAATGAATCAAGAAGAATGTCTTGTAATCTTTCTTCTTTTCTTCCTTGAATGTAGCCTTTTGAGCATTTGTAGCTTCTGCCCCAAGTGGTGTGACCCCCATTGTTAATCATCTCAAGGACTTCTTGATACCTAAACAAAAATTTCATTTTCTTGGACCACTTATCATAATTCTTCGAATCAAGAATCAAAAGGTTGGTGAGGATTCTATCGTTGGAAACGATAATCATTGTTCCAGCAGATTAATGAATCAGAACAAGTACTTTTGATGCCAAATGATAGAACATACAAAACTTCAATGGTAAATCAATGGAGAATTGAGTTAATTTGGAGAAGATGAAGTGAAAAAATAGAGAGACAAAAAAAGAGAGAATAATTGAGAGTGAGAATTAAAATTGACATTAATCCAAACGGGAGCACTGAAGACTATTTATACAACATATACAAAAATAAACGAGAAAAACAAATAAACTTAAAAATAAGTTAAAATCACAAAACATGTCCAATGTAACCGGTTATCATATTTGAGATAATCAGTTACACCCTAAACATTTAGTCACTGTCCTTAATTCAAAAACATATAACGGATTACTATATATATCTTATAACCGGTTACACAAACTGAAAATACAAAATTCACAGCTTCTAACAAATTCAAACTCATATTTTATAATTTTTTGTTTCACACTTGTGGTAAATAAATATACCTTTTGATATAGCTTACCTCTTTTAAAAAGAGATTTTATTCCTATTATATTTATTCTAAATTTAAATCAAGTCCATAACTTTTCAAAATTCAACTTTTCAATATACTCTTCCGGATCTTTATTATAACTTTTTTATTTTTTATTTTTAAACTTAATCAATAATTAATATATCTAAATATTATATAAAAGGCATATGGAAATAGTTAGGATAGAACCACATTTAAAATATTCTTATAAGAATATTATCAACCAAACCATTATGGAAATAACATAGAAGTACACGATTCAATTCTGACGTGCGAATATCATTATCTCAACAACTACAGGTGTGACCAGAACAACCACTACCTTATTCATATTTCAGACTTCACACTATATATAAACCACCCAATTCCTACCATCTTTTAAACCAACATTACCCAAATTAAATCAAATTCATATTAAATCAATATCAAAATGTCACCTTCTCCTCTGCAACAACAAGAATTCATATTCCGTTCTAAACTCCCAGACATTGAAATCCCAACACACCTTCCACTACACTCTTACCTTTTCCAAAACCTCTCCCAATTCCATAACCGTCCATGCCTCATCAACGGCGACACTGGCCAAACCTTCTCTTACTCCGACGTCCACCTCACCGCTCGCAAAATCGCGTCCGGTTTAAACACAATCGGAATCAACCAAGGCGATGTCATCATGATCGTCCTCCGCAACTCTCCGCAATTCGCACTCACTTTTCTCGGTGCATCATTTTGCGGCGCCGCCATCACCACCGCGAATCCTTTCTACACCTCATCGGAGCTAGCTAAACAAGCCACCGCAACGAAAACCAAACTCATTGTAACTCAATCCGCATACGTCAACAAAATCAAGGAGTTTGCAAAAATTAACAACATCAAAATCGTATGCATTGATGATTCATCATCGGCATCGTCACCATCATTGGAATCCGAACAATCCGAAGAAGATGTTGTGGATTTCTCTGTATTAACAAATGCTGATGAAAACGAAGCACCGGAAGTGAAGATAAACCCTAACGACGTCGTTGCGTTACCGTTTTCTTCAGGAACTTCTGGTCTTCCAAAAGGTGTTATGTTAACACATGAAAATTTAGTTACAACAATAGCACAGTTAGTTGACGGTGAAAATCCTCACCAATACACTAACTGCGACGATGTGTTACTCTGTGTGTTGCCTATGTTTCACATCTATGCACTCAATTCGATTCTACTATGTGGAATTCGTGCCGGTGCTGCAGTGTTAATTGTGGAGAAATTTGAGATTAAAACGGTTTTGGATCTAATTGAAAAGTATAAAGTGACGGTAGTGTCGTTTGTGCCACCGATTGTTTTAGCGTTGGTGAAGAGCGGAGAGTCGCATAGATACGACTTGTCGTCAATTAGGGTGATGATAACAGGTGCGGCACCCATGGGAATGGAACTTGAACAAGCTGTCAAGGATAGGATGCCACAAACCGTGCTTGGACAGGTTCGATACCTTTGTTTAGAGAGATGAATCATAGATGTTACATATAACAATGAAAATTGAAATTTTTTATCTGTTTTTTTATATGAATTGTTTAAATTTACAGGGATATGGGATGACAGAAGCAGGGCCACTTTCAATTAGTTTAGCATTTGCAAAGGAACCGTTTAAGACAAAACCTGGTGCCTGCGGCACAGTTGTGAGAAACTCGGAGATGAAAATAGTAGACACAGAAACTGGTGTTTCTCTTCCAAGAAACAAATCTGGTGAAATTTGTATTAGAGGCACAAAGGTTATGAAAGGTATTATTGTTCATTCTTATTATCATATATATTTTTTCAGTTTTTTAATTGATACGCACCGGGTGACTTTGTAAAATAATTTTACACTCTATTTAATAAGAATTCATCAATTTATTAGATCATATCAATAACTTAAAATTTACAGTGATAATAACTTAAAATTTACAATATAATATAATTGCAGTATGCATTGTTTAGATACATATCCAGTATCCGAGTATGCATTGTTTAGATACATATCCAGTAACCGTATATCCAGTACTGAAACAAAATTGGATATTTTTACAAAAACTCTAATACATGATAAGTTAGTAAATTTAAAAAAAAATACAATTTAAAATTAACAAAAGAATAATATTGTTTAAATAACATCAAAATAATTAAAATTAAAAAGACAATTAACTTAAAAATAATTAATATCTTCGCAATAACATAAAAAAAATCACACTTAAAAATATCAATAAATTATAAAATAATCGGTCCTCTTCAAGAATATTAAGTCAACCAAATAGATATGATTAATTTTTATCAATATTCTACAATTTCATTATTCTTTTATTATAAACTTTATCTTTTTTCAAGAAAAAACAGAGATTTATACAAATAAAAACTAAATCATCAACATTCTTTAAATTGAATTTATTATTTTTCAATGAATAAATAAATAGAATAATTAATCTAATTTTTATTAAGTACATTTTTTTAATAAAATTGAGTACGAGGTAACAAATATCTACCGGTTCATGTACTAGCTTTACAAAAGTAAATTTTTTTGATACAATATGAATATCAGTACCCGTCTACGGATACTTTACTTAAAATAAAATATATTTCATTGTGATGGGATATATCATTGTGATGAGATGCATGATGCTAAATGATTGACAGTATTGAAACCTATATACCAAAATATGAAAATTATTTTATATATATTTTGACTTTCTAACTGTTCTATTTTAATATTGAAACCTATATACCAAAATATCTCGTTCTGAAAAAAATTAACTAAAATATTTTAGTCTCAGCGGGTGTGCTCGACAATAGGGATGATGGCAGAATGAAGGAGTTACAGCTATAAAGGTGCTTGTCCACTATGTTGGCGAGCACCTAAATATTTTAATAATTTGAAAAATAAAATAAAAATTAAAATATTCAGGTGTTCGTCAACTCAGTAGACGAGTTTTATGGCTACAACTCTTTCATCTGTTCATCATTCCCGTTGACGAACATACACTGAAACTAGAGTATTTTGGTTAATTTTTTTCCAAACGGAATATTTTAGTATTTTAATATTAGGATAAAACAGTAAAAAAAATTCACATATTTCATTTTCTCTTTTTTCAATATATGTGAATTTCATTCAAAAAAAAATGGGATGATTTTGTTGTTTTATTGTTCTCACTACAAATATTATAATAACTTTATAATTGATTATGTGGTGGTGGGAACAGAAATTGTGGAAGTTTTTATTATCCAATTTACCGACTGACAACTTGCTTGTGCAATATTTCAAAGCATGGAACTCATGGTCCATTGGAAAGCAGCTTTACATAGCTATTCACAATGATTGATTAAACCATATTGGTTTTGGTCGGTAGGAATAACGGTATGGGTCGGAACGGTTTTTATCTCTACAAGTTTAAATTTAAACTTTTAAACTCCGTTTCAATTTTATTTGAGATGAAGAATTTAAATTAAAAACCATCTTAAACGAATTAGAATTGGATTCAGGTATGGTCGTGCTGGTACCAGATTCCATTAAGTTAAATCAATTATTTTAATATATTTTTAAACTAAAAATAAAACATGAAACATTTAAATCTTAGAAAAATAGTGACAAATATCGAATGAAGAATGAAGGTGTCATACTTCCATCATAGTAGAATCCAACTGTGAAAGTAATTCATTAACCAAATATATTTTCACCAAAAGAAAAGTTGTGCCTTAGGTGACCAACCACTACACCTTGAAAACAACTATACGAATCCTACTTTTTTATATATTACTATTATTATCATATCCTTTCTCACTTTTAAAATAAGAGAATTTTATGTAGTGGTTTCACCTAAAGACGATAAACTCAAGTGCTCTATTTTTTTGTGCATTAGTTAGCTTTGCTTTCTCATTTTATATAATTTCTAGTCAGCACATAACGTTAATCATGTATATCACTTTAAAAATAATTAATATAAAAGTATTTTTTTTTTAAAATGTTGATTTTAGTTGAAAGTGTAATATTTCTTAAACATGCATAAATTACAATCATATTATATATTTTGACCTAAAGTACATAAACCATTTTTACGAGGTATTATTTGTTTTTTATTGAGAAGTAGCCTATTATTCATTTTGAATTTAAAATAATATCTGAATTTTAATCTTTAGATCAACAATAATTCCTTTTCAAAGCTAAATAATTTAATATTGTTAACTTGTATCTTAAAAACAAATTATTTGTAAAACATGATAAATTATTATATAGAAATCTATTATTAAAATTTGTTAATAATAATTTAAATTAAAAAACAAAAATCTTATCGACTTTTTGATAGAAAAACATGAGAAAGACTAAATCCATTTGAATTTAAAATAAGTGTATTAATTTTGTGAATTAGACAAAATAGATGGATTAAAATTGTAATTTAGTCTAAATATATAAAATATCTATCAATTGTCATGCATGATTTATAGTCTGAATTTTCTACTTATAACTCTTATACCTAAAACATAAATTTAGAATGAAAAATTATTATTAGTTATTATTATTTTCTACTTTATCTAAAAATGAATTCATAATATTAAATTCTTTTAATTCTTATTCTTAGCTCAATTAACCCAAATCAACTTAACTATTTTTTTTGAATGCGAGGATTATATTTATAAAAACAATGGTGAAATTTTTAGTGGAACCCTACCATTTTTTAAGGTAGAATGAGTGGACCACTTTTATTACTAAATTTCAAAATAGCACTAGGGTCCAAACCCTCTCTTATGTATGACTAATTTTGTTCTTATGTTTCCCCCTAATGCATGCAATTACTTAGCTTTTTAGTGGTTGTGTTAAATTCATCCCTCTTTCATGGTATCTTAAAAAAAAAATTATTTATTTTAAATTAAGTGCAGCTTTTAATTTTAATATGATTTCAATTTTTTTTCTCTTTCAAATAGTACATTGTAATTTTTTTTTACCGTGGTCAGGATATCTAAATGATCCCGAGGCAACAAAGAAAACTATAGACAATGATGGATGGCTACACACCGGTGACATTGGTTTCATTGATGAGGATGACGAGCTTTTCATCGTTGATCGATTAAAGGAATTGATTAAATACAAAGGATTTCAAGTAGCTCCTGCTGAGCTCGAAGCATTGTTGATTGCTCACCCTAACATCTCTGAAGCCGCTGTAGTACCGTAAGTAATTTGAGAGGAAAATCATGAAATCATTACGATTTTTTTTTTTCTGTTATTAATGGTGTTGGTTGGTTTCAGATTGAAAGATGAAGTTGCTGGAGAACTCCCAATTGCATTTGTTGTTAGATCAAAGGGTTCAAAGATCAGCGAGGATGAAATCAAGCAATACGTTTCACAACAGGTTGTGTTTTACAAGAGAATAAACCGAGTTTACTTCACGGACGCTATTCCTAAAGCAGCATCGGGCAAAATTCTGCGAAAGGAATTAACTGCGAGACTTAACGAAGGACTAGTGGTGTGAAAATTACACATGTAAATGTAGGTTTATGCATGAAGACAAATATATTCTCAAAACTACGTGTATTATTATCGTTAATGTTTGTCTTTTGTGCGACATATGTTTCTTGTATTCAAATTCTTTATTTGCAATGAAAATGTAGTATATTTTGAATGAACAAATGTCACTAAACATTAAACCAAGTGCAACAAACAAGTAATGTTAAATGTTCTGGGGTACGTTCTATATAAAATTATAAACCACCTAATTTCTATTATCATTTAAACGAAACTTACCCTAATTAAATCAAATTCATATTAAATCAATTTCCTTCTCTCAATAAGAAAATGTCACCTTCTCCTCCGCCGCAACAACAAGAATTCATATTCCGTTCTAAACTGCCGGACATTGAAATCCCAACACACCTTCCACTACACTCTTACCTTTTCCAAAACCTCTCTCAGTTCCATAACCGTCCATGCCTCATCAACGGCGACACTGGCGAAACCTTCTCTTACTTCGACGTCCACCTCACCGCCCGCAAAATCGCGTCCGGTTTAAACACAATCGGAATCAACCAAGGCGACGTCATCATGATCGTCCTCCACAACTCTCCGCAATTCGCATTCACTTTCCTCGGTGCCTCGTACCGCGGCGCCGTCATCACCACCGCAAATCCTTTCTACACCTCATCGGAGCTAGCTAAACAAGCCACAGCAACGAAAACCAAACTTATAGTAAGTCAATCCGCATACATCAACAAAATCAAGGAGTTTGCAAAAGTCAACAACATCAAAATCGTTTGCATTGACAATTCATCATCGGAGGAGAAAGACGGTGTTGTAGATTTCTCTGTTTTAACAAGTTCCAATGAAAACGAAGCACCTGAAGTGAAGATAAACCCTAACGACGTCGTTGCATTACCGTTTTCTTCAGGAACTTCTGGTCTCCCAAAAGGTGTTATGTTAACACATGAAAATTTAGTTACAACAATATCACAGTTAGTTGACGGTGAAAATCCTCATCAATACACTAACTGCGACGATGTGTTACTCTGTGTGTTGCCTATGTTTCATATCTATGCACTCAACTCGATTCTACTATGTGGAATTCGTGCCGGTGCTGCAGTGTTAATTGTGGAGAAATTTGAGATTAAAACGGTTTTGGATCTAATTGAAAAGTATAAAGTGACGGTAGTGTCGTTTGTGCCCCCGATTGTTTTAGCGTTGGTGAAGAGCGGAGAGTCGCATCGATACGACTTGTCGTCTATAAGGGTGATGATAACAGGCGCCGCACCCATGGGAATGGAACTTGAACAAGCTGTGAAGGATAAGATGCCACAAACTGTGCTTGGACAGGTTCGATGCCTTGTCAATTCATTATAACTTCTGTTTTTGTCATTTTCATCTGAAATGGAATCCATTATCCATGTCAACATTTTTAATAATTTAAATATATGTACATGTGTCGTGTGTTGCGATTGCAGATATTGTGTCACACCTAGCACCTGTTGTGATTGAATTTTAATTAGGAGGTTCTTGAAATATATTGTTGAATAACACTTAAAGTTATGATTTAAAATTTGAAATTCTGAATTTTGATTTAAATTTTTAAATAAACATAAGTAAAATTGTTTGATGTTGTTCAAAATATGATTAGACACATCATTTTGTATTGAATATTGCATCAATAATGTTGCAGTTGTAATTTGCAAAATATTATTTAAAATCATGTTGACATTGTCAAATATCGGATACACTTTTGTGTAGATGTGTGTAATAATATCTATCGACATCTAAGATAGTTTTATTTAGAGGTACTATAATATATCATTTCAGACTTCTAATACACTTATAGGATTAGAGTTAGTTTTAGAAAATTTAATTATAAAAGTTAGAAGTAGAATTTATATTAGTTGGACTTTTGTTGTTTAGTTGAGTTTTTTAGTTATTGGACTTTTATTCTAATATCTATTAGTAATATTATATATGTACTTTCACTATGAGATGAAAGAGAATCAATCAAATGAATGAAAATGTCGTTATTTTATTAGTTAGCTTTATTTATCTTTCTTAGTATTCTCTAATTTTGTTAAAGTTCATCTTTAGCATCTTATCAATGGGTGTTTTCATTTCGATCTCATTCCTGCTAAATGGGGTTCATATGAAATTTTTATGGAGTAGAAGAATCATATTGGTGGATCCTTTCTATTGACAAATATTTTAGAGTCAAAAATATTATGGGGGATGAGGAGAAGATGAAGGTAGCTGCAATGAAAATGACAGATTGTGCTCTCAAATGGTGGCTAAGGAGGATTCAACATCACCCATCTATGTCTTGGAATACATTCACAAAAATATTTTGTTGGTATTTTAAACCCAAATAGAAACACTATTTCTTGGAACCAAAAGAGGATATGGAACTCATACATGAATCAATGGAGTTTATTGAAAACAAACACACATATCTGGTTTGTATGGTAGAGTCCCATACCAAAGAAAGGAACATGGTAGGTTTCAACTCTCAATCCTACGAGATGCAATCCATGCTCAAAGAAGGTTACAAGCATCTCTCCGGTCTCGGAGAAGCCGTTCTAAAAAACATCAATGTCTGTAACCAACTCTCCACCATCACCCACATTTCCATCGGCCCCAACAGGATGAATAAGATGGTTATAAATCATTTGGATCAACATTTTGTGACGAATGATGTTGCTACGATTGTGAATGAGCTTGAAGTTTTAACATCCTGCTGCTAAGATTTTGGTGTTGGCTAGTAAGGTTTAACAAGATGAGATTGGTGATGGTGTTAATTTGACTATTTCTTTTACCGACAAGTTGCTTCATGGTGCTGAAGAGCTTATTAGGATGGATTTGCATCCTAGTGAGGTTATTAGTGGATATACCAAAGCTATTAATAAGACTGTTAAAATATTGGACGAACTTGTTGAGGAAGGTTCAGATGATACAGATGTCTGTGATAAGGAGCAAGTTGTTTCTTGAATGAAATCAGTTGTCGCCAGCAAGCAATTCGGTTAAGAAGAAACTATATGCTCCCTTGTTGCTGATGCATGTATTCTAGTGTGTCCAAAAAATCCTGTAAACTTTAATGTGGACAATGTTCGTGTTACAAAACTCTTGGGAGGAGGCCTGCGTAATAGTACAGTTGTTCGGGGAATGGTTCTGAGAAATGATGTTGTTGGTAGTATAAAGAGAATGAAAAAGGAAAAGGTTGTTGTGTTTGCAGGTGACGTTGATACATCTGTAACTGAAACTAAGGGAAGTGTTCTCATACATTCAGCTGAGCAGCTAGAGAATTATTCAAAAACTGAAGAGGCTAAAGTAGAGGAGTTCATCAAGGCAGTAGTTGATTCTGGTGCCAAAGTGGTTGTAAGAGAAGGGGAACTAGGAGAGATGGCTTTACACTTTTGTGAGAGCTATAAGCTTATGTTTCTGAAAATCACTTCTAATTTGAACTGTGTCGATTTTTCCATACAACCGGTGTTGTTGCTATGTTGAAGCTTTGTTAGTTCCTGGTTGTCAGACATTTTGGTAAAACTAGGAGTTACCACAAGATGTCCTACAGGATGTCGTGACATCTGTATTTAAGGTTCTGCAAGTAGCTTATATGATGTAGCAGGACTCTTCTCAGGATGTCAAGCATGATGTCCTAACACTTATGAACAAAACATTCTGTGTTTGTTTATTTTTTTTTGTGTGCAAACTTGTTGCACTGACCTGGTACAAATCTGCAAGGTTTTTGGTGTTTTGCAAAGGCGCTTTGGATTCTCTTATGAGGATCGTGTGGAGCTATTCTCAGAAGCTTCTCTTAGAGTTTTGAAGAGAGATCTGTAGGGTGATTTAATTGGATCTGATTGATCAAATCAAATCTATTTTTGAAGATTGATCTGATTGATCAAATCAAATATGGTTCTTTGAAGTTATTCATGAAGATTGATTTCGTAACAATTTACTGTTACTTTTGCCACAGCCCAAGCCCATTCAGTATTGCTATTTAAGTAGGTGCAAACCCTAGCTTTAAAATCAGAGAAGCTAGGATTAAAGTGTGTGCATTTGTGTAAGGTTTAGCCTTCGTGTGTTTTAGTAATTTGTGAGCCATTCACTCATTATCTTAATGTGTGAATTGGACTAAGTTGTAAATTGTAAATTGTTCACTCAAAGCTTGTAAGAAAGAGCGTATTGCACTTGATTGAAGCTTTTAAGCAAGATCAAGTTGTGACTTTGAAGAGTGTCTTCTAAAGTCTTCTCCTTTTTGTTTTCATTATCACTACTGTGATTGAGGGGGAGTGAGAGGTGTCTCTTATCTAGGTGTGTCCTAGGTAGAAATTGCAAGGGTAGAGATTAGGTGAGAAGATGGTAAACGAGAGAGAGTCTACTGTGTATCTTCAAACGAATTCTACTTAGTGAATTTCCTTCCTGGCTTGGTAGCCCCCAGACGTAGGTGTGTTTTCACCGAACTGGGTTAACAATTGCTGTGTCTCTTTATAATTGTTATTTGTTTATCTTTGTTTTTATTATTGATTAGACAGATATTTGTATCGTAAACATCACCTTCGACATCTAATATCTGATACCAGAATTTCAAATGGTATCAGAGCAGGCATCCTGCTCTGGTTCTGGGTGAGATCTAGAGACGATACTTTTTGGTACCATGGACAAAGAATGAGGATTTGTGAACAGACCGCCTGTTCTGGACGGGAGTAATTATGACTATTGGAAACCTAGGATGGTTGCCTTCTTAAAATCTCTAGACAGTAAGGCATGGAAGGCTGTCATAAAGGGATGGGAACATCCTGTGATTATTGATAAAGATGGAAAGGCTACATCTGAATTAAAGCCTGAGGAAGAATGGACCAAGGAAGAAGATGAACTGGCTCTGGGAAACTCCAAGGCCTTGAATGCTCTGTTCAATGGAATTGATAGGAACATATTTAGGTTGGTGAACAACTATGAAATTGCTAAAGAAGCATGAGAGATACTAAAGACTACTCATGAAGGCACATCCAAGGTAAAAATGTCTAGACTTCAACTTCTCACAACTAAGTTTGAAAATCTGAGAATGAAAGATGATGAAAGAATACATGACTTTCATATGAATATCCTTGAAATAGTCAATACTTCAAGTGCCCTAGGTGAATAGATGTCTGAAGAAAAGATGGTAATAAAAATTCTCAGATCTCTTCCCAAGATATTTGACATGAAAGTAACTGCTATAGAGGATGCATAAGACATCTGTAAGATGAGAGTTGATGAACTCATTGGCTCTCTTTTAACTTTTGAAGTAGGAATAGGTGACAAAGCTGACAAGAAAAAGAGTATAGCTTTTGTGTCAAATACTGAAAGAAGAGAGGATGAATCTGATGAGGATACAAATGAAAGTCTATCAAATGCCATAGTTTTATTGGGAAGACAATTCAACAAGGTAATGAAAAGAATGGATATAAAGACAAGACCAAATGTCAAGAACATCGCACTTGACATCAGTAAGTCAAATGATGCAAGAAGAAGAACTAGGACAGAAGAAAAACCCACAAAAAACAAAGAGATACAATGTCATGGGTGTGAAGGTTTTGGTCACATTAGATCTGAATGCCCAACCCATCTCAAGAAACGAAAGAAAGGTCTAGCTGTTTCATGGACTGATGAAGACTCTAACAGTGATGTTGAAGAAGAATCTGCCAAACATGTAACTGCCTTAACTGGAAGATACTATTCTAATGAAGACAAGTGAAGATGAATTGACTTTTGAAGAACTGGAAGCTTCCTACAAAGAATTGTGCCTTAGAAGCGAAGAAGTTTACCAGCAAGGTGAAAAATAGAAGAAACTCATCATCAAGCTAAAGTCTGAAAAGGAGGAACACCTGACAACTATCACTAAATTAAGAGATGAAGTTGCTCAACTAACTTCCCAACTTGACCAAATGGGAAAGTCTGTTAGAATGATGAATAGTGGTACCAAAACCTTGGAAGAGATTCTTCAAACTAGCAGAAGAACTGGAGACAAGACAGGGCTAGGATTCAATGAAGACAATAACTCTGCCTCTCACCACAAGCCTTCTGGATCAAGGCAAAAGATGTTCATCAGATGTCTCAACATCACGACAAAAAAACAAACCAGCCAACCAAGAAAATTCCAAAGATGGAGATGTCATCACTGTGGTCGCTTTGGTCACATAAAGTCATTCTGTTTCAAACTGCATGGATATCCAAATTCTACAACTCAGACAAGACCTAACCACAACACTCTCCCCTCTAAGAAGCAATGGGTCCCCAAGGGTCCTGCTACTAAACAATGGGTACCTAAAACTGCTACTACTTGCTTCATAGCTCATATGTCTCTAAAGGTTTCTACTAAGGAAGATTGG